AAAAAAAAAAAAAAGAAAGAAAAATGCCAACTCAGCCCTAAAGACACTAGGAGTTGGTCTGCCACAGTATCAGCCCAAGAGAAACACTTAAAAATTAAATAAAATTCTAGTTAACAAATGAAGTTAAATGCCCAAGACAATCCTAGTATGTGCTTTATAACAGTTCATGATTATTAACCTTAAAAGGGCCCATAAAAATTTACTAATTTTTACACCAAGTTGATTCAGTATTTCAAGGGAAATGAAAAGTATTAATCTAACTGTATAAACAATGAAGGTTCTCCAGGTGTTCAATTCCTACTGCATGATCAGTCAGGCAGAGGTTGACACTAGTTATTAGTATCACAGTAAGGTATCTGACAACCACCTTCTTTATTAAGTTTGCCTATTTTAATGATGCTGGAATACAGAAAAGATTATTATTTCCTAGAAAAGCAGATTTACATTTTTATCTCCTAACCAGTCTGGACAACAATAAAATTCTCATTCACCAAAAGAGGAAAATAGATATCTAATATCAAAATCTATGTCAGAATGCAAATACAACTAAACATAACTAAGGGACACTAAATCCTAAAAATGATACATGCCACTTTGGGGCCCAATAATTAAAGAGCCATAGAAATTCCATATGCAAAAATAAAAATAATTTACTAGTTTTTTCTTAAAACATTGCTCCAACCAAGAAACTTCCAAAAAATATTAATTTGCCCAATTAGCTCCAAATTGCCAAATCAATAATGTATAATCAGAATAACTTGATTCATCTATAACATCTCAGTTCTGCTTTCCAATTTAAGTAACCATAAGGCTGAAAAATGACAGTAATTTCTTGACTGCCTGAATGCCAAGGAAGAAAAAAAAAGTACCAGGAGTTATTGACATCTCTATTATAACATAAAAAAAGACTATTTAAGGACATAAATGCAACATTTAGATTTCATAAATGAGATTTAATTTGGTGTACATGGTCAACTAGTTTTATAAAGTCCTGATTCATAGTCTACGAAGATCATCAATTTGGGAATTAACAAAACTAGCAAAAATCAAAGAATGCCAAATGATTTAATTGTATTGTATCTGTGAAGTATTACAGAAATATAAAATGAAGTCTTTTTTTTAACTTCACCAAGGGAGTAGAAAAATTTGTAATAGTGTACTATTTCAAGCTTCTATTGTAGTTTACATTTTACAAATACGATGACTGTGGCATATCAGATCCCATGTAATAAAAAGTGGTTACTAATGATCAAAAATTACACTGGAAAATGAACATCAAGAAGTCATTACTACCATAAAAAAATCTTTTACCACAGGGAGCCTTTAAAATGTGAAATAATCACAAATACTATTTCTAAAGACATCTGCTATCAGAACCATCAGTCCACTGGATTCTGAACTGCAATCACAACCCTTCATGGACTTCACATAACCTGACAATACGTTACAGTTATACACATGTCAAAATCAACAAAGTATGAAAACCGCAGAGCAAATTAGCATTTGTTAAATACCAACCCAATTGGGACCAAAATTATATAATTTCTACTTCCCATGGTAAAAATAGGAGATAAAATTCTATCATCACTAGCCACCATTTATTAAGCATGTCTTCTAATCCCATCTAATGAAAAACTTAAGACAGAAATTTCATATAAAATATGTTTGAAACTTTTCTACATTATTTATTTTTAAAACAAGCCAAACTATGTATCAGTGTACTTAATCTATCTGATCAGTATCATATAATGAATGCTCTGTGCATGCACGTGTTAATGCAAAAGGGAAGAAATTCTTCAACAGACTCTGAGTCTCCCAAATATGGTTTGTGTGACTAACAGCTGAGAGGAAATGCAACTGAAACTGTCTGCTGGAAATCCATTAACATCTAGGCACAGGAAAAATGCCTGGGTGACAGTATAGTTGGATGCGCAAATTTGTGCAGGAATATAGCCAAATTTTTGGCAATCTCTCATGGTCTTAAATGTATTGACAATGGCCTTTCTTTTTCAGTTGTTAATACTACATTTAAAGAACATTATTTGAGTTGGAGGACCTGCCTGGTCTTTAAAACAAACAGGCTTAAAGCTCAGATTTACAAAGACATGGCATTTTAAATAATACAAACAAAAATTTGTACAAAAAATTATATGCTCCACAAAAAGTGCTATGCACAGCCAAAAGAAAACAAATCAGTACGTTAAGGAAAATAATGTATGCTAATTTACATATCATTCTAATTTCCCTTTAAATATATTATCTTAAAATTTTTCTGCAAAGATCATTTTAAGGATTATTATAGTCTGAGAAGGGAATGTTTTTAAAGGAATGTTCATATTTTAAGGCATATGCTCTTAATATACTACTTTATAGATTACATCTAGTATTTGCTTGTTAAATAAACTAAGTATTTAACTTTACAAACCATTTAATAGCCACATTTGATCCTAGTCACTCTGTACTGAGCCCCTCCTATGTACTCAATGCTGTGAAATATTAAACAATGAAAGCATTTTTAAGAGTTTATAACTTAATATGGGTATAGTTTAAACAAATGTACACATTTAAAGATATAAATATGCTATAAGCAGCTCTAATTGTTGTGGTGATAAAATAAATTGAACGTTCTGCAGGAAAGTACTGTAATATTTTACAAGTGAGCAGTAATAGGTAAAATTGACTCAGTACTTTGCAATTAAGAAGTGATTCTCATAATTTCACTGAATCCTCAAAACAATCCATGATACCCTATGACTACTTTTGCCCCATTTTATTGATGAAGAACCTAAGATCAAAAAAAGGTAAGTAACTAAACCAAATTTACACACTAAGTACTAAAGCCAAGATTCAAATTGGGTTCTCACAGCTAAATCAAGGCTGCCCCTGGATTTATAATTTTCACATTCTTTCATGTAAGTAATCTCATCTGATCTTTACAACAACCCAAGAGATAATAATAGCAGCTAATATTCATTGAATACATATTATGTATCAGGTGCTCTTCTATATTAATTCACTCCTCACAAACCCTATGAAAGGAAGGGTTACATTATTACTCCATTTTACAGGTGAAAAAATGAAGGCTCATCGAAAATATGTAAATTGCCCAAGATTACACAGCTAATACCTAGGGGAATCAGAATTTAAACCCAGGGCATTTAGTTCCAACACCTGCTTCTTTACCACCTCAATCCTCAGAAGGGTGAACATAGCAGGTTAAGAAACTTGCCCAAAGTCACAAGGAAAGAAAACTGGAGAAGGAGAAGCAGCATGTCTTCTAGCACTTCACCCTAATTACTTTTCCTAAATGTAATTGGAATCATTGAATCCAGATGAGGCAAGGTGGCTTTGGGTGTAGATAGCTCTTTAAAGCAGAGTATGAGCAGGTGAGAAACACTAGCAGGAAGAAGGAATCCCATCAAGTTAGAGAAGACTTATCTTCCATAGACGGAGGCAGATGAAAGGAAAATAAAATGTATGTGAGCAGAGACACATGTATTTGCCTTTCTGATGTAGGGAGTAGGAATTAGGGTAGATGAAGAGGGATGACTCTAATTAAGGAAATCAGTAAAAGTGAAGCACAAGACTGATTTGTTTTGAGAGAAAATTTAAAGCCACTGAGAGATTTTGGATAGGTGTTGTAATGCCTCCAAAAAATTGATACCCCTACTCTTGCCAAAAGTACCTGGCACACAGGAAGAAAACATGTAAGCACCGAAAGAATTACACATTTTCATTTTTTTCTTTTTAAAAACTAAAATGTCATTTACAGATTAGCAACTCCTTTTGACTGTTAAGAACCTTCCTGTGGAGAGAAGAGGGAAAGGGGAATATAATTGAGCATAACGTGCTTCTCATGAGTTCTCAAGCTATGAAGCTATGGTACTGCTTACTTTAGCACACAGACTTTCCTCAGAATGCTGTTAAAATCTGATGAAGGAAATTACAACAAAATCTCGCTCAAATGAATAAACTGAAATGCCAATCTAAACCTCAAGTATATGTAAAAGTAGAATTTGTAACAGATAGGGGGAAAAATCACGGCAGAGATCAAACACAAGGATACCAGGATACTAGGAAGCAGGACTTTTTAGAAGACAAATTAAGTGAGGCAATCTAACCCTAATAGAATTTCTTCACTCATTACTTAAAATAAACCAGGTCACTGAAATGGGCTTATACTGTGGCATTTTGTTCATTTTAATTTCATTAAACCATAAATTCCCATGGAAATACCTTAGACACGTGCTCACAATAATTAGAATGCCTAACATTTCAGTGTAAGTACTTTTGCATGAGTTCAACAAAATAGAAAGAATGCAGTGAGGTCCCTTTAAGTTTTTTGCCTATGTCAACAGCTATTTTATGATAAGAATTATCTCTGTGGCTATAAAGCACATGTAAAATACATTACAGGAGTCCATGAGAAGCCTTAATGCGGAAGATCCAGTAAAGGTCTGGACTGCACACAGACACATCAAAATCAAGCTAAACTTCCTAGAATATAGCAATGATAAATTTTTCCTCCCAAAGCTATTACTGTTAAATATACCTTGATGAATTAAGTTCAAGTGTAACTACAACTGAAATATGATTCAACTGAGCTATGACCTATTTTTCCTCTCAAAAGCAAAAGAGAATAATGACAGTTGTGAGACTTACATTTTTCCATTCCAGGGTATTTCTGAAAGTTATTTCACAGCAGAGCTAAAGGCAAAATGCACTCAGTGACACTTACTTGCTTTAAAATATAGTTATGTATGCTATTGCTCATAGGACAGTTGTAATTATTTAATAATTTGTTGTTAAAATTCATGTGTTCACTTACTTTTAAACTATACATACCAAGAAGCATTCTGGAAGGAAATAATCTCAAAATGTAATAGGACACCTAAGTCTACAGTTCAATTATAACTATATATCTACAGAACAACAGAACCAACATCAACATGACAAATACAAAATTAACATATACTGTATATGTGGTTGAAAATACCCACCCCTAGCAGAAAGCTTTTTGGTGTTGATAATTTTGGCAGCATATTCTTGTCCAGTAGGGATTTTCATACATCTTCTCACCACTGAGAAAGCCCCCCTGAAAACGAATAATTAGCATGTCATCAATATACTCAGCTCTGATATCCCTTTAAAAAATTACAACAATCTGAGCATTTTATTGCATTTAGTGATTTGTAAAATATCAGTGCACTACAGTAATATCCAGAAAATGAACGATTCTTCCTGGAAACCCAAACCTTCTTTAATGTTGAAGAATAAAAGTAAATTTTATTTAACTGGGAGCACACATTATTAATCAACAAAATGAAAGGAACTGCCAATTATGATGGCTCTTGTTTGCACATGAAATTTGAAAACATTTTACAATCACACTCACACAGCACCAAATGCTCTGAGAAAAAAAAAGAAACCCTGCAAAGAGCATGGCTGAGGAGGAGCAGCAAAAATCTGCTGCCTATTTATTTTGTTAGAAAAAAAATTAATGTGGCTCCGAGTAAGTAAATATGGCGATTGTTTTCATTAAAATATAAATCTTGGGAACATTTGTGTTGTTTAACAAATCCTGATATGGTGATTTCTCTGTGCCCTGTTTTGAGCTGGGGGAAGGGAGAGATTTGAATTAAGCTGCTCTTCCGACATATTCTCCATGTTTTAACAGCAGACAACATATAAATATATAAGGATATAATTTTCATTACATTTAAAGGATAATTACATTTTCTTGAATTCAATTGTATAAAACAACCACATACATATAAACGCACCCCTTTCATAAGTAATAGTCGACACTAGCGATAGAGGAATTGGGTTTGGGTTGGATGCTACATAAATCAACATTCACGGTTTGGCCCCTAGGTCCCTAAGCACACAGGTCCTCAGGAGGTCTCCGGTCCCCTTCCTTAAATTCTCCGAGTAGTTCTGCCTGTCGGGCGTAGGAGGTCGTTTTATACAACGCTAGGCTACCCTTGGGAAGCTTTCTCTCGGTCTCGAGGTCTTTCCCGTTGCCTGTATAAATAAATCCTCCCAGAGGATGCGAAGAGGCACATGTAAATCGTAGGAAGGATGATGATGAGCGAATAATCTAGTGCAAAGATTAATAGTGGATATGGGGCAGGGGGTCGAGTTCCTTTGGGTGACCCTTTTCCTGGACAGAACTACTGGATGCGAAATAGACTCTACGACAAGTTGAACTTTCGGCATCAATAAATATGGCACCGTCTGTGGCAGTGAGTTCTCATCCGTACGTGGGTTGTACGGCCGACACGCCGGCTAACCAGGAGGCATCTCTATTTACAGAAAACATGATCTATGTTGCATTTTACATGGGTTCTTGTTTCCTCTATACACACACACACACACACACACACACGCTCGCACACTTCTCAGGATGACAGCTACAACTGCAGGGATCGTAAATCCACTAAGTCTCTAGTGCAAGAGGGTGGGGGAGTGGGAGAAGGTGGGTTTAGGATCATCGGAATGGGCCACCAGCTGGGGTGGAGGGTCTTTTCCCGTCTCTGTCCCCTCCTCTTGCTAAGGCAGTACCTTTCTCAGAGCTGCCACACCACTGGCCCTCCTCCCACTCCTCTGGTCTCCCAAACTCCCTCGCCCCACGCGGGAGGCCGGTGGGTCTGGGGTAACGCGACCTGCCCTCTGCTGGAAAGGGAACATGCGGATGCGGGTAAAGCGCTTACTTTCCGAGCTCCTCGAAAAGCTGATACTCGTCCGTGAACCTGGTGCAGGTTGTGGTCGAAGCCATCCTCGGTCCCTGGCTGGGAGCGCGGCAGACGAGACTCGAGCAGACGCGCGGCTTCCCCGGGACTGGCCCCGCGGCACTGTCACCCAGGGCCGCCCTCACTTTCCCCGTCCGAAAGTAGCTCGCCCGGGAGGGAGTGTGCGCAGGGGCGGGGCGGGAGGGGAGATGACCAGAAAGGGTGGCGTGGGGTCTCCTCCCCACGGTCCGCCGATTCTCTTCTTCCTCCTCCTCCTCCTCCTCCTCCTCCTCCGGCCCTTGCTTCCTTCTCCTCTGGACGCTCCACCCGCCCCCTTTCCAGCCCCTCTCTCCAAATGCAGGGGGCAAAGTGCTCAGGAAGAAGGGGCCGGGAAATGGACAACAGCCCGGCACCGGGCGAGAGGCAAGCAGTTGCGAAACTAGCGCACCGGGCTGAAGGGGTAGGGGCGGAGGGGAGGGAGCCCGAGGGGGCGGAGGCCGAGGAGCTGGGAGCGGAGAGCTCGAGCCCAGCTGCAGCTGTCAGCAGGCGCGGGCGCGGGGCGCGCCGGGGCTCGGCCGAGCGTGCGCGCCCGGGGCCAGCCTGCCTCCCGCGGGCACCTCGGCGGCCTGACGCTCCCCCACGAGACCGCGCTGCTTCGAGACTGCGCGGCGAGAGAAAAGAGCGCTCGGATGGGGCGAAGCCTAGTCGGCCGTCCCCAGGCCTCCGCCTCCTACCCCCTCACCCCCCCGCCGCCTCCTCCCACCACTCCCTCCGCCTGCCAGCACCCCTTCCCTCTCCAAGCCCCCTCCTCGCCGGTCCCACACCTCCCTCTAGCGACTCCCAACCCTATGCCTTCGCGGATCTCGCTCTCCCGCCCTGGGTCTCACACTCGCGCAAACCCGTCTAGGGAGAGACCAGGTGGGTGGAGGAGGATGTACGAGGGAGAAGCCTAGGGAGGGTTTAGGTGAAGGAGGCGAGACGTCAAAATTACCCAGTTAAACTCGCTATAAAGCTGCTGCCTAAATCTGGAATGGATTTAGCGGAAAGATGCGGGGTTAAGTCGTGAGCTGCCTGGGGATGCTGCCGGGGCCCGTGTAGGGCCCCGGCCCTGTTGGGGGCGCGGGGCACTAGAAACCGCTCCAAGCCGACCCGCGAGCCGCGGTGCCCCGGGTGGGAGGGCGAGGTGAGCCACCATTTCATCTCGGCGCCGCTCCGTGTTGACACAGCGGGGGCCGGATGTGGGCAATTGACAGCTTCCTTAGAAGGGTCCCAGCCTCCCACAGCCTCCCAGTGACTCCGGGCCCACCCCAGCAGAAGCCCGTTTAGCGAGGGGCGACGCCCGCCGTGCGCCACGTTTCACTTCTGATATGACTGCCGCCTCACCCTCCACTTCCCCCCGCCGTTTTCTAGGTTGGGTTGCTCAGACTCTGGCAACCCCAGAAGGCCTTTGCTTCGACCATGAATGCTAGAATGAAAGCAAAAACTCCCCCACTGAGCCACACCTTCCTTTCAGAGTAACTCGCTGGAACCTCAGTTAAGTTCTGATAGTAAGGCGGTTTCTCGCGAGATTTCCTGCCCCGGCTGCGGGGGCAGGGTGCTGGGAAGGTTGGGTGTCGGTCACGCGACCCGGTTGGGACTCACGTCACTAGCATCACGGGAACACGTTCTAGCCCGTTTTCGTTTTGCAAAGAAAAAAAGGGAAGAGGAGAGAACAGGGCGAGTGTGCTCTGCTTGTATGGTCAAAGATCTGGCTAGATAGTGACACATACGTATACTTTGTAAATGACTGTCTGAAAAGCCACTTAATGAAGAATACGTCCTATTCATTAGCATACAGTAGATAGGGGAAAAAATAATTATGCATTACATTTAAAATAAATCGCTGATTGCTAAAACAACCCCTGGGCCATTCTTACAGTCTTATGTCTTTAATAAACTATGCAACTGCAAATTTAAAGGCAGAACGAAAGGGTTATGAACGGTATTTCCAAATTACTGTCCTTTGTTCTACAACATGGGACCCTAAAAACTTAGCAGTTCTGCTAATTTGTTCATCATTAGCATTACATCATGGACTCAAAATTCCACAGCTGGAAGATAAAAGATAACTTGGATATACAAACAATCTAAAATTTAGAGGAATTGTTGCTTGCTCCCAGGGGCTGCTACTGATTAGTAAATTACCTTGTCCACGGTTACACATAATCGTTAATTCCCTCATTTCCTCATCTGGGGAATGCTAATCTGCCAATAGTAGAGTTTTTACTTAAGTTTTCAAAATATTTACAAATTTTAACAGTTATTATAACAAACTTGAACTTTGTATATATTTGTATTCCCAGCGGTAAAAAGCAATTAGAACATTGTGTAAAATGTAATAATACAAGATGATACCAAAAGCTATATAAAGAAAGAAACAGGTGTCTAAGTATTAATTGAGCTATAAAATTGAAAAAAAAGATTCAGTCTATGCTAAAGATTTTTAACATATCTTAAATATTTAGCAATATGGTTCCAAGTTATAATGCAATAATTTAATTTTCTCTGAATCTAAAAATGGAACAAAAAGTAAAATTAAAACAATAAAGATAATATTAAATTTTACAACTCCAGGGAAGAAAAAAAATTTTTTTAAATATTCAAGTAATGAGGCCTACATAATTACAGTATTTATCTCAGTTATTCAAACTACCAATAATTGTGAATGGTTATGATGATTGTATGATACGATGAAGGAAACGTAACAGTTTTAATACTGATGTATTATTCAACAATAAATGTGTATTTTAAGTACTGCTTACTCAATATTTGTGCTGTTTCTTGATTTATATCTTAGACTGATTAAAATATTTATCTTATTTAAACAAATATTGACAGTTATTTCTGAAGTTTGGGCTTTCTTAAGACAGTAATCCTTCTAAAGTTACACAGAAATTCCACTTGGATTATCATCTCTTGCCTTCTTCCTGGTCTCCTGCTTCTGCCCTTGCCCCCCTTCATTCTAGTCTCTTCACGTCAGGCATAATGGTCCCCTTAAAACTTCAGTCAGAATAAATCATGCCTTTGCTCAAAAACTTCTGAAGGCTTAGCATCTCAATTAGACTAAAAACCAAAATTCTAAAAATGACTTACAAGGCCCTCAGGGATCTGCCCTCCACCCCTACTCCATTAGTCTTCCTACCCTCAATTTGTGCCCTGGCCCATTCAACTCCAACCACATTCGCCTCTGCTGTTCCTGGAGCATAACTTGGCATGCTCCTGGAACTTCCCATTTGCTATTCTCTCTTTCCTCGAATATTCATCTCTCCTATTTCATTTCTTCATCTCCTACCAGTATTCTCTCAAATATCACCGTATCAATGCAGATTTCCCTAGCCATTCTATCAATTACTGCACATTTTTCAGACACGATTTCTATTTTCACTGCCTGCTTTATTTTCCCCCTTAATAACTATTACCATCTAGTATACTATAAATTTTATTTTTTTCCTTGTTAATTGTTTATACTTCCCAACTAAAATATAAACTCCCCAAGGGCATGAGTTATTGTCTATTTTGTTCACTGCTCTACTTCCAGCAACTAGAATAGTGCCTGGCACATAATAGCTGCTCAATGAATTTTATTGAATGGGCAGATTAATTATTTTGGAGTTTAAATTACCTAATTACAATTTTTATATTAAAGTTAGTTGTTGATAATTATTATTTTTATTTTTTTAAGATTTTATTTATTTATTTGACAGAGAGAGAGTGACAGCAGGAACACAAGCAAGGGGAGTGGGAGAGGGAGAAGCAGGCTTCCCGCTGAGCAGGGAGCCCGATGCGGGGCTCGATCCCAGGATCCTGGGATCATGACCTGAGCTGAAGGCAGATGCTTAACGACTGAGCCACCCAGGCGCCCCTAGTTGTTGATAATTAATATGCCAATAAAACTTCTTACTCTAAGGGTGATCATTTTCAGTCAAGATAGTCACAGTATCCCATGATTAAAATTGCCTATGCAAAGAAATGGATTTTTAAAATACATTAAAAATTGACATCAAAGGAAAAGAATCTAGTACTAATTTTCTTACCATTGAAGTCCATAAAGGAAGAAGGAATTGCCGGGGTTTTTTAGATATACCAGCCTTACTAAATTTTACATTGTAATAAAAGACAGATGCCAAAAGTTTCAAATGATTAGATCTCACTGTGAAGACACAAGTCAATGTAAGGAAATGAAAAATGTGGCTTTGAAATGAGCTTTTGTAATTCCTAAACTAGTTAAACACCACCACTACTATGAAAGAAGATCCATCTTATGATGTGAAGAAATAGGAAGTCATAAATGTGAAAAGAACATCAGAAGTTACAGAATGAGAATGAAGGATTACCAGATTTAAGTTAAGAAATTTTCTAAAATTTAGTAACAAATATGAGCTGAAGATTATCCAAAAAAATAAAATGCGTTGTTCAAATGTAAATGGAAAAAAATTATAAACATGTACATACTCAGTTTCTCAATTGATTTAGATTAATCACACAAAAATTGAGATCAGCTAGTGTTAGAAGCTCCTAATATTCTATTTGCTGAGGTGGAAGAAAAGCATTCATAATTTTATCTTCTTTTAAAGTGTATTCTTTAATACTGGAAAAGGTAACAACAAGCAAAGCAGGAGGAGTGAAGTTTAAGGGTTGGAGGCTTGGGGGTAAACTAGTTGTAAGCAGAGCCCTATTGCTCCTTATATTGCTAGACTTCTATCAGATGAAATCACATTAGTACCAAGACCACACAATATTTTGCTATAAATATATTCCATCCCTTTTGTGTGTGTGTGATAGCATCAACTGACAAAAAGTAGCAAAGAGATAGAAGACAGACTGAAAATGATCACTATATACAAATACAACTGGAGAACCAAAGATAGAAGATCTTTTTTCTCTTTTTGGCCATTTGCAATTAAAAGGCAAGCCAATTAAAAGGCAAGCCTTCAGTAGTCCCACTAGGAAAGGGTAAGTTTCTAATACTTAAGTAAACAAAACAGATATTGACATTCATTGATTTTCCTTGCTACAGAATTACAAGGCAAGAAACAATGAACAGATGATGCTATCTCCATAGCTCCCCAGAGTGAAGACTATCAGTAATAAGTAGATTGCTGTGAGAATTTTAGCACGGTCTGTATTGTAGCCACTTTTCATTGAAGATTTAGAGGCAAGGAGGAGAAAGCAACTTGCTGTTGTTACTTCCAGTTAGCCTTCTCAAGGAATAATAATTTAACCACATAGAGCCAGACACAAATATGGTCACTAGTGAGCGGATAATCTATTCACCAAACTCTCCATTCAGGAAAGATGAATTTGCAGATGAAGAAATGAACTATTCATAAAACAAAAGCTCATAACAGAAAAGGTATTCTTTGTTTCATCAGGTCCTGAAAGAAGTAATTTTTCCCTACAAATAAACATAAATGTGTAAATGAACGAGGAAATAAGGGATAGCCCCACAATGAAGTAGCTTTTTTCCCATTTCTTTCAATTATATGGGTTAGCATATTTGATCCTCTACCAAGATACCTAACACTCTGTTAAAAAGAACTGTAGCAGAAGATTATATTAAATATGGTGTATAAATCAAAACAACTGTATAAAAGGTTGTTCATCATTAACAAAGTAGCAACACGAATTGG